CTGGTGTCACTCGAACCTTGGCTAAATTGCAAGCAAATTTTTTTTGGGAGAATATGAGAAAAGATGTTCTCACCTTTGTGGCCCAATGTACCACATGCCAACAAACGAAGGTCCCCACTCAACGCCCACTCGGTTTGCTACAGCCCATACCGCCACCCTCACGATGTTGGGAGGATCTGTCACTCGATTTTATCATCGGACTACCGCCCTATCAGGGTCACACTACTATATTAGTCGTGGTGGATCGATTTTCAAAAGGAGCGCACTTTGGTATGTTGCCACGCTCCTTTACTGCTGCCAAGGTCGCTGACCTCTTTACTCATATGGTTTGCAAATTACATGGCCTACCCCGTAGTCTAATTTCAGACCGTGATCCCATCTTTCTCAGTCAGTTTTGGAGGGAGCTCTTTCGTCTGAGTGGTACTAAATTGCGCATGTCCACCGCTTACCATCCACAAACAGACGGCCAAACTGAGGTCACAAATAAGATACTACAGCAATATTTGCGATGCTTTGTTCATCATCGTCCCTCTCTATGGGGAAAGCTACTACCATGGGCAGAGTGGTGCTTTAATACTTCTCTTAACTCCTCCACGGGTTACACTCCCTTCGAAGTCATGTTTGGCCGTCCCCCTCCTTCCATTCCTCAGATTTTGAACACGGAAACAACTAATGCAGCAGCTCATTTTGAGGTCCATTCTCGCGAGGAGATCATGACAAAGTTACACTCCAACCTCCTCAAAGCACAAGAGAACATGAAACATTGGGCCGACTCCCACCGCCGTGACCTCAGTTTCGATGTGGGTGATTGGGTTTATGTCAGGCTCCGCCCTCGCCGCCAAAGCTCTGTCACGGGCCAATACCTTGGCAAGTTGCAAAAACGGTTTTTTGGTCCCTTCCGCGTGCTTGAGAAGATTGGTGCAGTTGCCTACCGACTGGACCTCCCTCCATCTGCAAAAATACATAATGTCTTTCATATCAGCCTCCTTCGTCCTCACCAGGGACCGCTTCCATCCCCTCCACCACTCAACCTTCCTCCGGAGATTGAAGACAACCAACCCATTCTTACTCCAGTTGCTATTCTCAATTGGAAGATGTCCTCAGATACCCCCAACCCACAACAGTTAGTCTTGATTCAGTGGGAAGGACTTCCTTTGGAAGAGGCAAGTTGGGAGCCTTGGTCTCAAATTCAGGCCCAGTTCCACCTTGAGGACAAGGTGACTCTCGATGGGGAAGGAGATGTTAGGCCCATTACTGATACCACAAACGTGGAGCCCAGCATAGAAAATCAGCATGCACAAGAAAGCCTAGAAACCGGTACCAGAACCCAGAGAATTAGGAACAAACCCTTTTGGCTCAAAGACTACGTAACCAATTAACCACGTGGCAACCTTGCAAGGAGCAGTTAGGCAATATAGGAGCACGACTAACAAACGTTGATTCCTTTTTTATGTTGCATGTAGTGCGTATGGCACTTTATAGGCAGAAATGATGATGGAATAAGACAACAATGATAGTTTTTGCCTCAATTCTCTCTGATAATCTCTCTTTCTTCTGATTATTCCATTTTCTCTTTCTGTGCATTCCCTGTTAGGCCCATTACTGATACCACAAACGTGGAGCCCAGCATAGAAAATCAACATGCACAAGAAAGCCTAGAAACCGGTACCAGAACTCAGAGAATTAGGAACAAACCCTTTTGGCTCAAAGACTACGTAACCAATTAACCACGTGGCAACCTTGCAAGGAGCAGTTAGGCAATATAGGAGCACGACTAACAAACGTTGATTCCTTTTTTATGTTGCATGTAGTGCGTATGGCACTTTATAGGCAGAAATGATGATGGAATAAGACAACAATGATAGTTTTTGCCTCAATTCTCTCTGATAATCTCTCTTTCTTCTGATTATTCCATTTTCTCTTTCTGTGCATTCCCCTTTCATTGGTGCTTTCGTTGAGCCTCCTCCCATGGCTGACTCCTCTGACTCCATTTCCTCAATAAATAATAATCAACAAGAAAATTCAGGGTGTTACAGTTATGGTTTCACTTTTTATGTGCTAATTTTGAATCCGGAACGACCCGTTCTGATCCATTTGTCATGTGTTATTTTTTAATCTGGAACGGTCCGTTCTAGTTTCAGAACGGTCCGCTCTGAATGTGAACAGTAAATAATGCTAATTAGAAAAATAAATTTACACAGTTACTATTTGGGTAAATTTTTTTTAAAAATAGTATTATTTGAATAAAAAAACTCCAGTTTGGTGTACATTTTTTTGGTGACAATTTTGTCCTTAAAATTATCTCTCAAACTACTTTTTTTCCCTATCATTTTCTAAAAGCTACCCTTATAACAATAACTATCCAAAAATTACTCGCACCTTATTATTAATTGCTCATATTTATTTTATTGTTATTTTTAATAAAAATACATGAAAGCATAAAGTGCTTTTATCATATTAATTAAATATAAAGTCAAAATCTATTGGCACTAAGTACAAGTTTAAAAATTTATACCAAATTTTAAATTTTTAATATTTTTTTATAATATAAATTTAATTAATCCAACGGTTGAATGATGTGATATTATACTTAATATCATCTATATTAAATTTTACATGATTTTACAAATTTGTTAATTATTTGACCCTCTCATTGATTTCACAAACTTTTTTTTTTCACAAATTTTTTTTTGTCAATGAGCTTATAATTGGAATTCAGTTATGAATTATTAAAAAATAACCATCTAAATTGTAACATGAATAAACTTCATCACTTTTGTATCCTAAAATTTAAGAAAATAAGATAACTTTTTTTAATCAAACAAACAATAAACACTTGGACTAAGAATGAGAATAAAATGTATAGAAAGGATGATGTACACACTTAAACAAAAAGCTCTTTACGTGTGATTTTTTTTTTTAATATTAGTTATCCATTTGTAATATTGTTTCACAAACACACGAAACCATATTATGATTATGAGTCAGGTATTGGTGCAATACTTATTGTTTCTTGGGAAGGATGAGCATGGTCTAGAAGGTGAGACACGAAAGAACTAAAAAGCAAGTGTTACTAAAATGACTTAAATAACATAAGTTTTTACACGAGTTATAATATAAAAAGACATAATGTAAATCTGCTAGTTTTTTGCATCTATATACTATAGACTTGGCCAATTGGTTAATTAGTAAATGAAGTATTTTGATTTTCTACCTTAATATTTTATATTTATTTTTATCCACAGACTAAAATTATGTTAACAAAAATAAATCTCACAATTTAATTTTAATATATCCCAATTAATTATTAATATTTTAGTCTGTACATTTCACATACTAAATATTTTTTTTTATCAATATGAAATATAAGAGTTAATCATTTATTATGTATAATTAAAATATATAATAAATTATATATATAAATAAATTTTATATTTGACTATACAAATTTTTTTTAGAAGATATAAATTATATTTAAATTTTATATAAATGGATGGACATTTTTAAACATATAAATCATATATGAAAAAAATAAATTAGATAATAAATTAAAAATTTCTTAAAAGTATTAAAAAAACTTCATACGTAAGAATTATTTGTATTTAATATATAAAAGTTGATTTTTTTAAATGACTGATTAATTATTGAATCACTAAAAGATATTTATAAAAAGTATAAAATTATAACTAATTTTTTATTATTAAAACTATCTCTAAGCAGTTATTAATTTTTTTTATTATATACTTCTTAAAAAAAAATATCTTTTTGGTCAAAAACAAAATTCTCTTTCAGTTTTCTTAACAAAAAAACACCCACGTCAGAGTCTGGTAATACTATAATAGCGTATGTCGTTGTCATGCAATTTGCACACGAAATCCCTCATATATCATGCTGTACATAGTTTCCTAATAAAATTTACCTTTTTAATAAAATGACTAACATTTGATATTCAAATTTCTGTTTAGTTCTTATTTGTTTATTTTATTCATAATATCTGTTTAGTTTACCACCATTTTAAGTTTAGTCAGATAATTCCACTTAACTGTTAAAACTGATGAGAATCTCATTATTTATTATTATTATTTTTGACATCATATATTTGTCTAATAAATTTATAAAATATTTTTTCCTCTTATTCTTTATTAAATATTAACATTAATCATTCTTTTTCTCCTACACATAACTTTATATATTTTTTAATATGTATAACTCATTTTCATTAAATCAATTTACTATATCAACAAAGTAATATTTCCAATTCTAATTTCATATGAATATAGTCTTTAATTAAGGACTACAGGAATCTATTTTAAAAAAAGAAAGTAATATTTAAAACGTGAGAGGTTTAGAAATTGTTAAATGTTATGATTAAGTAAAAATAAAATAAAAATTAAATCAACCTTTTATATATTAAATATAAATAGTTATCTTGCATAAGAATATTTAAAAAAACTATTTTTAATGAAAGTGTCTTTGAGAAATTCTTTTAACTTTATATGTAATTTATTTTTTTATCATATTTATTCATAAATTAAATTTTAATATTTAAAATAAACTATCAATAATAATAAAAAAAATGTATTACTAATAAATTATTTATCATAAATTTAAAATATCTATTATACATTTAAACATAATATTTATTTATATATTTTATTATAAATTTTAGTTATATAGAATACTAGTAAATAACCAAAAGAAAAACTAATTCAGAAGTAATTATAAAGATAAATTAATCCATAATTTATGTACATAAAAAAAATCTCTATATTAATAGTATAGACATAAATAGCAAGTGTTTGATTATTTTTGATAAAAATTTAATTAATGCAGATTCTTTCTTTTTATTTTCTGACTGTTGAAAAGTTGATACTAAGATAAGATGGTTAACAAAATCTCCTAACTTATAGTAAATTAATTTTATTTATTTTAAAAAAAGAGCGAGTCAAGGAAACAACCGTGGACTCTCCGTAACACTCTTATATAAACCTGTGAGCGTAACAGAAAGAAAAGTAAAGTGATCGCAGCAAAAGCAGAGAAGACACGATGGTCGACGTGGACGGTGCAACCTCGGAGTCGCCGAAGCGCCATCCCAGCGGCTTGCTGCTCACCCTATCGTCGATTCTGGCTCTGATATCCAAGCGAGCAGGCCGCATGGGTGGGAGCAAGCCCAAGCCCAAGCCCAAGCCCAAGGCCTCCGATGAGACCGACTTGAGAGTGGATCCCAACAAGCCCAAGTCGCGGCCCAAGAAGCTTCTGAGCAACATAAGCAGCAAAGCCTTCCACAAGAAGAGTCCCAATCCCAAAGAAGAGAAAGAGAGCGCCGAAGCCTGGGGAAACGGCGGCGTTTGGCAGAAGGAGATTCTCATGGGTGACAAGTGCGAGCCCTTGGATTTCTCCGGCGTTATTTATTACGATGGCAACGGCAAACAGCTCAGCCAAATCCCTCTCAGGTCGCCACGTGCCAGTCCCTTGCCCGGTTACCTCACGCGCCGCCCTCTCAAATGAATCACTTCCCTTCGCACGTGTCACTTTTTTCTTTTTCTTTTTTTATTTTTTTTTAATTTTCATATTGCTGCTTCTGCTTGTTTTGTTTGTTGGAAACATTTTATTTGTACAGTGTCTGTGTGAGAGCCTCCTTAATTAGTCACAATCAAATTTTAATTACTTCCCTTCACGACGTCGTTTCCTTTGTTTTCAACGCGTCTAAGGTCTAACTGCCACTATCAACCATCATTTAGTTGCAATATAATTCAGAATCACTAACAATTACTATATGCTTGCTTTTATGAAAAATAAAATAGAAATACAACTAATATAATGAAATATATTATAAGATATATAATATGATAGAATGAAACAGTGTATTTGATTAGGTCTAATCTATTGGCAATTTGATTCACTCACGATGGCACGCAGTCATTTAATTTAAAAAGCCAAAATGATGAACGCAAGATTTGTCAAATTTGCGATTTGGTCGGATGGTACAGAGTACAAGTCATTAGGTCACTCAAGAGGTTTCCATTCCATAGAAAAAGTCCACTCACAGTGCTGAGACTGAGATTATAAAATCAATATTTGGGATAAAAACTATTTTTCATGAAATAAAATCTAAATTTAATTATAATATCAATTATTAAATTTTTAATCATTAATTATTGTTACACTTTTTAGAATTTGTTTGTTCAGATTTTTATTGGTCTTTTCCCCTTTTACTACATTTTGTTTCTTTAGATGCGTTAGAGGAATGGAAAAAGTTGAGATAGTTAAAAATATAGGATCTTTAATCTCAATTTTGATGAAAAATAATTAGCCATTAAAATTATTGATATAATATTTATTTAGTAAAAACTAAATGATATATAAACAATATTACTATTATATCTTTATTATAAGATTTGTTATTATTTATAAATAACTTTTATATTTATAATTTATAATCTATAATTATTATATTTTTCCCAAACTACTTTATTAGTTTCTAATTTTGTCAAAGACAATTATACCCTTAGACAACTACAAAGAACAACATTGAATCACCTAAAAAATATAATCACCTTTTTATTTTACTTTTCAACAGAAACACAAAATATTTATTTCCCTACTTAATAAGGATTTGTTATCAATGAGATTTGTAAGATAAGAAAAACTCTTTAGTAACAATTGTTATTTGAAATCATTAATACGATTTATTTTTTTGGATATCATTAGTAACACTAGTAAGATTTATTTTTTTCGGGATATCATCAGTAAAACTTATTAGTAAGATTTAGCTTTTGGGATATCATCATTAATAAGATTTGTTATTATTTTTATACGTATAAGGAAAACTTACATGATAAGAATTATTAATAATAACATTAATTAAAATTTAAGAAGAAAAAAACGTAAAAATATTAAATGGGATATGTAATCGATATACAATTATATGAAAGTTCTTATAAATACTTGTAATATTAAATATTATTGTAATATATTCATCGTAAAAATTATATAACATTATCTATTAAATACAAATTTACATATATTATATATTTAAAATGTTTAATTATGATATTATTTAGTGATAATGAGTATCTATATACTATATGTAAAGGAAATATATTCATATATATGATTCCATATTCTGTTAGTGATTTATATCTGTGTATTATATATTACTCTTTTTTTTTTCACTATCATATCTCTCCTCTCAAGGATAAAAAAAAAAATAATATTAAATCGCACTTTTAATTTCTTTTTTTAATTACTATATTTTGATTCTCTAGTTCTTAAAAATAGTATCTTAGTATGTGCAGAAGACATGGTAAATATTTATTAAATGTAACTAAAATTTATAATACATTATATATAAATATAAATATTATGTTTGAATATAT